CCGCTTTCCAAAGATCTTTCTGATGAAGTGGGAAGGGGAAAGGAGGGTGCAGGGTGAAGGGGACCAATTTGGAGGCCGCTCAGACTGTCGGGGGAGGCACCATGGTGCTGCAGACAAGGGCCACGGCAGAGGACACAGGGCAGTGCTGAGAAGTAAGTACACCACCTATTTCACTCAGTTCTCAGAAACGGAAGTTGAGAGGCAACAGGCCTTGCCCAGGATCATGGCCTCCTCAGAACTGTTCTGAATAACACAGGAGGCTCAGGCTCGGCAAAGCTACCACTGGCCAGGGAAGCAGATTTCCTTGAGCCAGGCCTCACCTTAGCTTCTTCAGCAGCCACGTCGAGCCTTGAGCTGACATTGCCCTGGATTTAGCTCTACAACTGTCTGGGTCTGGATGCCAACAACTAATACTTGTAGCACCTGCTTTTGCCAAGGACATTTGGGATCTTACAGCCTGGATGATTTTAATAAGCTGGCCTGCTGGGAAGATAGGAGACCAGCTGGGCTAAGTGACCAGGGCTGAATAACCAGGGAAGCATCTAAGAGGAAGTACAGCTGGGTGGGGCACAAGACTGGGGCGGGCATCTAGCAAGGACAAAGAACAAGTGGTGGCTCTGGCCGGAGGGTGTGACTGGGTATGGCCAACAGCTGTTCTCACTGGCCATTGCATCCCTGGCTAGCTTGTGTGGTGAAGACACTCCTGGGTGTGGCCTCCCTCACTGGGTGTACATGCTGAGTAGGGGGAGAGGAAGGAGGAGAAATTAGAAAGAGAAAGGCAGAGATGTTGCAGGAGTCAGGTGGAACTTGATGATGGAGGTCTTGAGAACCAAACAGAAGACATGAGCAGACAGGGCTCCATCCCACCTGCTCCCTACTCTCTGAAACCATGGCAACAACAGCTCCCTCTCCAATCCCAGGTCTTGTCCAAACCTTGGGCAAGTTACCCAGCCTCACTGGGCCTTGGTTTCCCTATCACGGAGGGTCAGCAATAATAGCACCAGCACATCATGTCTACTGAAGTGATGAAATGTGTGTAAGTCCTTTGTGCCGGGCATTGTATACAGTAAGTGCTCAGCATGGGCTGCCTCTTGTTGCCAGTCTGGTGCATTTCACGGTGAGTGTCTGCATTGCCAGACCCCTCCACCACCAGTGGTGTGGTTCTTTTCTTCTAACAGACTCCTGTCAGTTTCATGCATTTTGCATGATCCTCTTCTTTAGAAAGTGGGTTTTCAAAAATTGAATGCAATGTGGAATGACATACTTTCCCCTTGCCTGCTACGTTTCCATGAGCCCTGTGCAGCTGGGGAGAAAATCAGCCAGGGGTTCTCAGTGAGTATGCTCAGCTGTGGAAATCCTTGGGCTATAAATAGTGTGTGTGTGTTTAAATATGATGGACTCATTTTCTCTGATCATAAAATCCATGGCTTCTATTTATAGCTACAGTGTTGCTCGCTAGTGCTGAGGGATTTTAAAAATAGGCCTCAAGAAAGAAGACGTGCTTGGGCAACCTTTTCAGTGAGGAGGCGGCAGAAGAGCCTACAGATTGAGGGCTGGGATTTAGGGTCTTTGCACTACCCCCACGCTGCCTGCGCGTCGTCCCCGGTCCCAGCTTCCCTGAGGTCTTGCGCCTGCAGCTTCATTACATTTGCTTGACAGGAACGATTTGTCCATTCACTCAGGGAAGATCTCTCTGGGCGGCCAGTGCTGTACTTTCAGGAAATAAACAGAGGATCCGCACTACTCCAAGGCACTCACAGCCCCACGGAGGAGGCAGAGCTGTGAGCACAAGGTGACAGAGTGCCACAACACAGGTGTGGACGAAGGCCGGGAAGCGCTGGAGGCAGACACAATTCCTCCCCCGGCAGCAAGAGAGCCCCCGAAGATGCCAGGTCCTGACCTCTGGCACCTGCTAGTATCCCACGGTCGGAGACCTCACGGGCGCCTTGGAGTCAAGACTTGAGTTGAAGGGGTGATCCTGTCTTATCTGGGTGGGCCCCGTATAGTCACAAGGGGTCTCGTCAGTGGGGGGCAGGGGGTGTCAGAGGAGAGGGAGAGAGAGGAGAAGGTGATGTGACCACCGAAGCATGGAGTTTGGAAGACGCTGCAGCGCTGGCTTTGAAGACAGAGGAAGGGCCATGAGGCAGGGGATGCAGCTTAGAAGCTGGGAAGGGCCAGGAGACAGATTCCGCTCCCGAGGCCCCCAGAGGGAGTGTGGCCCTGCCAGCGCCTGGCTGCAGCCCAGCAAACAGAATTGTGGGTCAAGAGTGTAAGTTTGTGTGGCTTTCAGCCACCTGGGTACCACTTTAACTGGACGTCTGTAATGAATAGTTGGTGTTTGGGGCCACTGGTCCCAATTCTCTGTTAGCTTCCGCACCCCAGCTGCGGGTTAGCTAACACCTCTGTTCTTGTCAGCACAGCCTGTACTTTACCTTGGCCCTTGGGGTGGGCACAGGGCTCATCTTACTGTATGTAACCAGCCTACTGAGAGCCCCCCACCCCCGACTATCTATGAGAGGAGTGCTTGGCAGGAGGATCAAGACCATGGCCCTCAAATAGCCTACGTCTGACGTGGGTGAGGATGTGTGAGAACTCCCACGAGTGCCACAAAGACAGAAATCCTGAGATGCACAAAGGCGCCCAGAGGAGAAAGCAGTGTAAACACCGGCACCTGTGACTGTGAACCCTGTGGGAATTTTAGTGATCAAATGGTACAACTTCTAGGTTGGATGGAGATGCTGGTTCAACCCCACATGTAGCCAAAAAGGGGGGCTTTAGGACACCCTCTCCAGGAGTCACAGCCAGGAAGGTCTTGGGTAAGGCAATGCGGAGTGATTGTTCAATAAGGGGTTTCCCCGCAGTGAGACTTCCACTGGGACACTGCTGGGACAGGACTCTGCCCTTTCTGCCATACCCGGTGTGTGGGGTGGAATAAACTCTCCCTCTATCATGCCAAGTGGGCAGTGCTGGGAAGTCTGCACATTGGGGAAGGCAAATGAACTTACGCTTTTTTTTTTTTTTTTGACAGGCAGAGTGGACAGTGAGAGAGAGACAGAGAGAAAGGTCTTCCTTTGCCGTTGGTTCACCCTCCAATGGCCACTGCAGCCGGCGCACCGCGCTGATCCGATGGCAGGAGCCAGGTGCTTCTCCTGGTCTCCCATGGGGTGCAGGGCCCAAGCACTTGGGCCATCCTCCACTGCACTCCCTGGCCACAGCAGAGAGCTGGCCTGGAAGAGGGGCAACCGGGACAGAATCCAGCGCCCCAACCGGGAGTAGAACCCGGTGTGCCGGCGCCGCAAGGCGGAGGATTAGCCTAGTGAGCCGCGGCGCCGGCCACTTACGCTTTTGTCACTGGGTGCATCTATGTGGTAGCAAACTAGGAACGGAGGCAGCCAGACCTATTAGCTACAGACAGAGGGAAGACTCAGTTGCTAAGTTACCACCTTTGAGCAATTACAGAGGGGAGACGAGATGCTGTCTGTAGTGCTACCGGCGGGCTCTGATCCACCGCTGCCTGCACACTGACATCTACCATCGCTGACTTCCTTAACTAAAAGAACTCAATCTGTGGACGCAAGGAACACAGCTCAAAAAAAAAATTGCATTCCCCAGCCTCTCTTACATGCAGTCCCAGTCTACGAGATGTAAGCTTTGAGCCTGGGCTCTCAGAAGGCTCAAAGGGGGCATGTTCTTCTCCCATGTGCCTTTTCTTTTCTTCTGTGCCCCCGTCTGGAACACAGCTGTGATGACCAGAGCTGCTGCACCTATCATGCTACCAGGCACTGGCTCTGAGTAAACACCAGCTGCCCCTTCTGAACTTAGGTCTTTACGAGAACAACAAACCCAAATTGCTTATTGTCACTGTCACTTGGGTTTTTTGCGGCATTGCTCAAATAAAAGTCCCTGAGTAGTAAAAACTGAGAAGATGTCAATCCCAACGTAAACTGCTAAGGACTGGGCAGTGGCATGCAGTGTGGACAAAGATCGTCGCACTCAGGGAAATGAACAAGAGGGCTGGACAGGACAGGACTCCCAGCCACCCAGGCAAGGATTTCCCCTGCTCCCAACGGGAGGAGTTGGCATCTAACCAATCAAGGATTCCCCTTCCGTTTCTTTTTAACAGCTTTATTGAGGTATAACTGACATTTCTGAAAACTTGCACACGTGTAGCACACATGATTTCAGGAGTTTGGACGTCTACACACCTGTGAAACCTCAGCACAGGGAAGGAGATAAACACCCGCCTTCCCCAAAGCGCCTCCGTGCTCTTCAGTTTGCTTGGCTTTTGTGCTAAGAGCACTTCCTGAATATATCTCATCTATTCCCCTGAGTGAGAAGGAGAGCAGTCCCATCAACCAGCTCATTCCCCAAATGCTCACAACAGCTAGGACCAGGCTGGGGCTGAAACCAGAAGCTAGAAACTCAACCGAGGTCTCCTTTGCGGGTGACAGGAACCCAACCACTTGAACCATCACTGCCGCCTCTCTAGGCTTGCAGCGGGAGGAAGCTGGAAGCAGCACCTGGAGCCAGGTGTCAGACCCTGGGATGCAGGTGCCCTAATGGGGCATCTTAACCACTACGCAAACAGCTGCCCCTTAAGTGCCCAATACAATACTGATACCCACAGTGCTGCAACACATCTCTAGGACTTGCTCCTCATGCAAACTGCTGCTTCAGATGCGACGGCTCCCCAATTTCCCTTCCGCTCCGCTCCTGGCAACCCCGTCCTACCTCTGGTCTGCTAGGTCACTGTCTCCGGTTCCTCGCCTATCTGGAATCACGCACGCTTGCCCTCCTGTGACAGGACACCACGTGCTCTAAGTCCACGCATGCCGTTGTCTCTGGCAGGATGGCCCTCCTTGCTAAGGCTGGCTAGTACTCCATTGTGCAGACACCACATCTTCTTTATTCTTTCATTCATCAGCAAACGTTAGGTTTTCCCTGTCTTGTCTACAGTCAACATGGGCGTGCAGACGTCTCTGAGAGGCTGATTTTAATTCTTTTGGATACGAAGACTCAGAAGTGAGACAGCTGGAATTTCAACAATTATAAGGTAGCCACAGATTCAATAACAGCTTTGTTTTGGAAGGGGAAAAAAGGTAGAACTACATTAAATGACGTGAAAGACAACTTAGGTGACAACGACACCCATTACACTATATTCACTAGCTTCATGATTCCAGTTTGTTTTTTTTTAATATAGATTTTATTTATTTATTTGAGAGGCGGAGTTATAGACAGAGAGCAGGAGAGAAAAGTCTTCTATCCGTTGGTTCACTCTCCAAATGGCTGCAATGACCAGAGCTGAGCCAATCCAAAGCCAGGAGCCAGGAACTTCTTCCTGGTCTCCCACATGGGTGCAGGGGCCAAGGGCTTGGGCCATCCTCCACTGCTGTTCCAGGCCACAGCAGGGAGCTGGATGGGAAGAGCATCCAGGATGCCAGCTCCACAGGCAGAGGCTCAGCCTACTACACCGCAGTGCCTGCCCCACCATTCAAGTCTAAGCCCAGGCCTCCACACGAAGCGGTCTCAAGTTGCACTCACCTTGGGCCGATGACAGTGATGCTGAGCGCGGTGGAGACACGCCGTTTGCCATCGCTCACACTCGTGACCTTCACTCTTTCGTGCCTTAAGGAGGCCAGCATAATTCACGGCACACAGAAGAGCACTGGCACGCTCTCGGCTTTCTATTTGGTGAAACTCAACGTTCTGTTTTTCCCTTAATTGAATTCCTGCGGCTGGAGGTAGACAGCTTCTCTTGAAGTCAGCTCGAGAGTGAGTCACCCCTCCTAAGCCTCTGTCCTGTGTTCGCATGGACCAGTCGCGTGCACTCTCCACTGCAGGGCTCCTGTTTGCTAATCTCTTCTCTTGCCACCGGCTGACTGCACTGCCTGGCCTGTGCAAGCCTTCGCAGTGTGTCTCACACCAGACAGAGAGAGCGGTGCAGGCCAGGGGCCACGTCCTCCCTGCCCAGTGGTTGTTGACTTTCAAGACAACAGCAAGTTCGGGGGTCTCCAGCCACAGGTGTTTGCTTCATTGCAAGGACTCTCCCTCCTGCAGCTCTGCGCCCGGGTCCTTCTCTCTATAATGTCTCCTGTTTCCCCGCTGCCCTGGAATGTAATCTACTTGAAGACATTGCAAGTGACAATTAGGGATTCAATTTAAGATAAAACCCAACTCTAGGTGGTTCTGCCAAATCAAATGACTCAAATTAGGTGACAACACCTGACAGGCAGAGGCCACATCTGCACGGAAGACAAATTCTTTTAAAAATCAATTTTAAGCCTCAGCCTGGTTTCAGGGCCATTAACATTTGAAAAGACACAAGCTTATAATTGAAGAAATACAATGTAATAGCTGTCATGTGGAATTGGCTGAAGTTAATTCTTAAGCAAACTCTGTACAAGAGAAACACATCGCAGGCAGCTCAAATCAGTGATCTCGTGGCCTCGCGACAGCGCTTAGAGGGGAGAGAAATCTTGCAGGCGTTCTCAGAGTGCATTCAGTCTCTCCAGGCTCGAAGCTCCACCAGGCGAGGACGAGAGACAGCTCCTGCAGTCACCCACCGCCGTGTCCGCCGTGTAACTGGGGATTAACAGTAGCTGATTAATTCTTTTTTTTTTTTTTTTAGGATTTATTTTATTTGTTTGAAATATGGATTGACAGAGAGACAGAGACACAGGGACATCATGCATCTGCTGGTTCACTCCCAGATGGCCATACAGCCAGGGCAGGGCCAGGCTGAAGCCTGGAGCTTCGAATTCCAGGTCTCCCACACGACTGGCAGGGGGCCAGGCACTTGGACCATCTTCTGCTGCTTTCTCAGGCACATTAGCAGGGAGCTGGATCAGAAGTGGAGTAGCTGGGACTTGAACTGGTACCCATATGGGACACCGGTGTTGCTGGCTACAGCTTAATCCGTTGTGCCATAACACCGGCCTGGTTGATTGATTCTAAATGGCTTCCCGATTGGTAATGTCAGGATTCTACCATCAACAGTGGTTGGACAGCATTTCCCTGAAACAATAGCATTTGAGCTCAGCCTGCCTCCAGTGGTCAGTGGAGGAAGGAATGTACTGGGACTAGGGGCTAGGGTTCTAGCAGAAGGAACAGGAGCAAAATCAAGGCACAGAACGGCATCCAGTGAGGCGGGGTCTTGCTAATGACTCCAGAGGCTGGGGGTGGGGGTGGGCCCTCAGGGCCTTCACTGCCACGCTGTGGAGTCAGGAATTTTCCCAGCCCCATTTGTCAGGAGTTTCAGAGTTACGAGGTATTTGACCTTTATCTTATGCCATTTAAAAATGCTTTTAAACAATCAGGTCGCACAAGAACTTGAGCCAAAAGGATGAACTCTTTTTTTATTCCAGACTAGCCAGCTAGGACATCACTTCTAACCTTATGCACAGATATGACATTTTCTGCTAAACAAACTCAAACTCAAACTCTAATTACCCCAAGGCTGCCCTTCCCAGCGCTCATGCCTCACTGTGATATTGTGCACCTAAACAGTTCCACTCCTAGATTGTTGAAAACCTGTCGTCCCCTGATCCTGACAGCTTCTAAGCACATCTTGTTATAATTGCAGCTATAATATGAGAATAAAATGTCTGGGCTGCTTGACAGAACAGAACTCATCTGTTTTAATAAAACTTCTTCCAATCTCCCTGTCTCAGTCCATTTTGTGTCACTGTAACACAATACCATAAACTGGGTAATTTATAAAGAAAGAAAATAAGTTTATTTCTCACAGCTTTGGAGGCTAAGAGTCCAACACCGTGGTGCTGGTATCTGGCCAGGAATTCTGTGCTGCACCGTCCCACGGTGGACAACGGAAGAGTGTGAGCGCGCCAGAGCGGGCACCTCGCTTCTACACCAGGCCCATCCCTGAGACAGGCGGCCCTCCCCCGCTGCTCTCCCCCATCTGTGCGAGCAGGGCTCTCATGACCGGATCACCGCACACAGCCCCGCTTCTAACCCTGCTGCAGGGGGGCTAAGCCTGCAACGCGGGGATGAGGGGATGTGCTCAGACCACGGGCTGCAAGTTGACTGTGTCCCCTCCCGAAAGGTACGTCCAAGTCCTCATTCCCAGAACCTGTGAGTGTGACCCTATTTGGAAATATTAGATCACATTGGATTAGTGTAAACCGTCTTCTAATAACCAATATCCATATATATGTATGTATGTGTGTACATATGTGTGTGCATATATAATGTGCATGGGTATATATGTATGTTTATATACGTGTGCATGCATGTATATGTGTATGCGTGTATAGATATATGTGTATAGGCGTGTATATTATGTATGTGTATGTATATGCACATGTCTTTACATGTGTGTTTATATATGTATGTGTACGTGTGTGTATACATGTTTATATGTGGGTGTTTATGTATGTATATGTGTGTGTGTGTGTGTGTACACACATGAGGGAAGTCTGGACACAGAGCCCCAGACACAGGCAAGGAAGCCCTGTGCCTTGCAGACTGAGATACCCACCAGTCAAGCAACTCCAAGTGGAGGCTTGGAAAGAGCCCTGGGGCGGATTCTCCCAGGTGAGCCTGGCAGGGAACCAACCCTGCCAGCACCTCAATGCTGGGCTGGCAGCCCCAGGACCCTGAGAGGGCACATCCCTGTTGTTCCAAGCCACCAGCTCTGGGGACTTCGTTATGGTAGCCTAGGAAACGAATGCATATGGGGACACTCTGGAAGGATGACTTGCCAAATATCTGGGGCCCATTTTGTCATAAAGCTGCACAGGCCCACGTGTGCTGACGGCACGTGTCCAGCTTGAATGTGGACATGTACTGCCCTCTCCGACTAAGGGGCGGGGCTGGGCGTGGACACGCAGGGTGCCCTCCTTCCTCCTCTGGTCACCACGCTCTGCTTAGCTACACGATGACTTTCTGTCACCTCCTAAGATCATTCTAGAAGCTGTAACCTTCACTCTCTCATGAACCCAGGGACAGGTTGTACATTCCATTTGCCTTTCTCTACCACTTCCCACTTAGCCAGAGTAACTAAGAGAATGATAAAGAGAAAATCAATGCTCATTTTAGTTCCGTTTTTAAGAGCTGAGTTAATAAAAGGAAATGTGTCGTACGTACAACCCCTCGTAGGATCCATTATCTTACTCTTTATTCATAATTCAGAATCCTTTCTAATGAGTGATTATTTTTCCAATTAGAGGATTCTACTTAGCATTTCAAGGACTTCTCTGAATAGCAATATTTGGGATAAGCTTTTTTAATCAAATTTCCCTGGGCTGTTTTAGAAGACTCAGAGCAATTGGATTTAGATAATGCCAACATAACGAATAAGATGCGAACCGTGTTTCTAGACTTATTAAAGCCAGAAAATCCCCAGCCACGAGCCTGGGTCATTTTGCACCACCTGTGGTGCTGGCACTGCACCGTGAGTTACAGGCGCATGGGGAAGCAGATGCAGCGCCTGGGTGGACAAAGCTGAGTTTCAGAGTCAGACACCTACACACCTGAATCCTGGCTCTGCTGCTCATCACACATGTGACCCTGGTCATTAACTCTGCTGAGAGTAAAACCAGAAGGAAGGAATCCAGCTGCACTGGGAGAGAGAGATCCAATAGCTTTAACCGTTTGTGAAATCCATTTAGGTAAAAGGTCATAAAACTATGTGGTGTGCATGCTTAGTGGTATCTTGTGTTAGCGCAGCAGGAAGACAAAGTACTGGTTTAGGGACAGGAGATGTTGTGGTCAGGAGGACTCAGGAAACAGGCAAGACCAGGGAGAGGAGGAAGCGGCAGAGTGTCTCCTTGCAAGTGATGTGAGCCAGGACCCTAGGCTGATGCAGACCAAGCACAGTGGAGGCCTGCTTAAGAGCCAGGCGTGCAGACACCTGCCCTGGCTGCCCTGCCCAGGGGCCCCTCCTCTGTGACCTTGACCTTGCAGCACCTGCTCTCAGGAGTTCCTTGGGAAAGGAACTGGAGTGGGGCCCTGGCAGCGTCTGATGGAAGATGAAAGGGTTTGCATACACGGAGGGGGAGGGCTGCCTTGGGAGAGCACCAGCGGTTGCCTGTTGATTCTTCCGCAGCATGGTTCCAAAACGGACACAGAGTTCCTGCTCCTAAACCTACAACGCCTCCCCATCCTTCTCACTGCACCCTCACAGGGCATCGGGGCTGGCAGAGACCACAGAGTTCCTGCTCCTAAACCTACAACGCCTCCCCGTCCTTCTCACCACACCCTCACAGGGCATCGGGGCTGGCAGAGGCCACGTGTGTGGTCCCGGTGGCCTGTGTGGGCCTGCGTGGCTGTTGCGGTCTGAGCCATCGCAGGGTTTTGCTGCCTCAATTACTCTCCTATCCTTTAGGTAACCAGGAAAGGCTGAGTCAGCACAAAGGAGGCAGAAGTAGGGAAAAGGCAGTGGATGTATATAAAGTCCCTTGCCTGCAATAGGTACTCAGCACCTGTGAACTTGGTGCCCTCCCGGAGTTCTATCAGGAAAGGGAAGAATGGCTTGTCCGAGACGTGGACAGAATCGTTGCACGCTGTGACTCAGGCATGCAGACACCAGAGCCGTGTGTTCTTGAAACCATCGTGGAGACAGCCCAGTGAAGCCCTGCCTTGATGGACGTTTCCAGAGCCTGGAGGCGGGGCTGGGCGACGGTAGCCACAGGGTGCCGAGCTTCAGCCACACCGGGAGTAAGTTTCCAAGGTCTGCTGCACAGCATCGGCTCAGCTCATACCCCACACTGCCCATTTCCACAGGCCAGGAAGGGCAATGCGAATGCTCTCATCATATGGTCGGTGAGGATGTCGTGATGTGTATACGCGTTGGACTGAATCACTCCACAGTGTATCACACGGGTCCCCATAGAAGCACACAACAGTTACTGGCCAATTTCAAATGCTTAAAAATACAAAAAAAAAAAAAGAAAAAGAAAAAGAAAGAAAGAAAGAAAGAAAGAAAGAAAGAAAGAAAGAAAGAAAGAAAGAAAGAAAGAAAGAAAGAAAGAAAAACTTAACCTAATCCTTCTCATCTAAAAGTAGGGAAAACTTTGGGCAAAGATGTAGAACACCTGGCCTCTGGATCTACCTGGAGCCTCTGGATCTAATTGGCTTGACGCAGGGCCACTGACAGAAGCCAGGCTGCCCCCTGCCCACTGGCCGGCCCTGCCAATGGGATCTGGCCATCCCCTGCCCACTGGCCGGCCCTGCCAATGGGATCTGGCTGTCCCCGTCCACTGGCCGGCCCTGCCAATGGGATCTGGCCGCCTCCTGCCCACTGGCCGGCCCTGCCAATGGGGTCTCTGTTCTGTTACATGCTGAGCTCAGCAGGTTGCTCTACAGTGGAGCCATCAGATACACAGAAGGTAAAGCAAAAATAAAGTACTATGCTTTCCAAAATCAGAAAAAATGAGCATTTTCTTCATCTAAACTTGCCAGATTTATAAAGGCGATTAGACAAAAGAAAAATGTTGAGGAGCAGAGGGAATCCAGAAACAGACACGGGAATTTAGAATACAATAAAAATAATGTTTCATATCAGTGAAGGAAAAGAGGCCTATTTAACAAATGGTTGTGTGGGATAACTGTCAAGACATCTT